GAATGTTTTAAGTTGCTTGAAATGATTTGCGAAGATTTGATCGCAGTTTGTTATTTTGGATAAGTCCGAAGGTGAAGGATCTTTAGGGATCGGATTATATGGTCCTTCGTTTAAAGAGTTTAGTGACACCATCGATGTAAGTGTTCTTATCCATGACGACTATCTGGCCACCTTTGTCGGCCTTTGAAATGACAATATCCGGGTTAGAATGAATCTCGCGCGCATTGTAGCTCTTTCTCTCGCAGTTTAGATTGGTTTCAAAGGTTTATTATTGAATTTCACATTATGAGCGATAAGATGCCTAATCATTTCTTTCTGTGAATCTGAAACTTTACTGAACTTGAAAGCTTTTTCGATAGGAGCCAAAATCTTGGAATCGAGGGTTTACAGGTTAGTGAGAAGTTAAAATTATATTTTAGAATCTCTCTTTCTTCTGAAAGACTAACATAGAATATTAACTATTGGCTTGATCTTTACAATGGGAAGATTTTTTTGAACTACTTGAACTGGAAGACTGTAAAAGAAGTTTTTCGAATTTAAAACTGCAAGGGTGTTTTTTTTGACGGTTAACTGCATTTCTCCGTTCTAGAACCAAGACTTTTGTTCAAGGGCATGAATTTTGGATATGTTTTAGCGAGTTCCAGATGAAGCTTATAGAGTTCATGTTCAATTTTGGACAATTGTTGACGTGTATCCCTTATCACGGACCGAAGTAAGGCAAGTTTGCAATTTAACAGAATTCTTGAAACGCGACTCGAAGGTTTTTGATTAGATTTGATTTGAATAAAATTGGGATCAATTTTTTACATTTACATTTAAGTAAAAAGTCAAGATGATTCAGGAATTTTTGCCGTTTCAGGCATAATTTAGTGAAACGATTAACGGATGAAGGCATGATAAACAATGCAGAAATCAAACTAAATAACTGAGCAATATAAAGTACACACAAAATAGCAGAAAAATCCCTCACTGAAATGAATAGAAAACAAAATGTTTGTAAGCAAAATGCATGAATCAGACAAGCAAAGCCCAATATCCAAATTTACAAAACATAAACAACTTGAAAATTGCAAAAATGTACTCACCGAAACTCCTACAATCACAAAATGGCGGCCACACCACGTGCAAAAAAAAAGCAAATGTAAGCCTGTTTGGGGCTTCTATAATAAGACACAATAACCACCCAATAAATCCGATTCCGAAGTCAACAACAAAATCAGCGTTAATTCACAAATTTTCACAGACTTTTCGATGGTTTTACCGAACATCATCTTCCTGCAAAACCGCAAATGAACAAGATAGAAATAATGTTTAGATAAGATAAGAAATGACAAGATAAAGCAAGTGGCGCCATCTGTTTGCGAAACCAGAACTAAAACATAATTTCTCTAAAAGCCGAAGGCAAATTTGGATTGGAATTAGGATCGTTAACTAGAACAGAAAGATTTTTATGAATGTGAAATGCCTCTAGAAAATCCATTTTCTCCAATGGAAGATGTTTTTTGAATAATTTTGGCAGCAGAAAAATTGAAAGTGTGATTTCGGACCAACAATGTTGAGCAACAGAAACTTCTGTTTCCTTTTTCTAACATATGCCTCATGTTCTTTGACGCGAAATTTTAAGGCTCTCTTAGTTGGCCAATGTAAATTAAACCGCACTGGCAAGGAATCCGATAAAATACCCCAGGAATTCATATCCGGAATGGGGTCCTTGAGTATAGAAGTTGGAATTTTATTGATGGGAGAGTAAACAACCCGAAAGTTAAATTTCTGCAAAATATGTGCAACTTTATAGCTTCCGTTTCTCGACATTCTGGTCACACGTAACACATCCAACTTCAGTACTACAGTTTACCGTAAACCTTCATCGGTTTGCCTTCCACCACACTTTAAATCATGTCATCCGACTAAACAAAAGTTAGCTTCATTTTATTCCTATGTTTTCCGTGCTCTTCAAGTTTGCTCCTCCAAACTAGCCCTTGATGAAGAACTAATTAATTTAAAAGCAATAGCTTTGACAGGGCTTTTCACCCAACATTATTAATCAAGCAGTTAAAAAATTCTCATCTCAACACACTAAAAGCCACACTCTATTTTAGGAGATTATAAAATTCTGTTTGTCATTCCCTTCTTTCCATCAATTACTATAAAGTTGCACATATTTTGCAGAAATTTAACTTTCGGTTGTTTACTCTCCCCATCAATAAAATTCCAACTTCTATACTCAAGGACCCCATTCCGGATATGAATTCTGGGGTATTTATAGGATTCCTTGCCAGTGCGGTTTTAATTTACATTGGCCAAACTAAGAGAGCCTTAAAATTTCGCGTCAAAGAACATGAGGCATAGTTAGAAAAAAGGAAACACAGAAGTCTTTCTGTTGCTCAACATTGTTGGTCCGAAAATCACACTTTCAATTTTTCTGCTGCCAAAATTATTCAAAAAACATCTTCCATTGGAGAACTGGATTTTCTAGAGGCATTTCACATTCATAAAAATCTTTCTGTTCTAGTTAACGATCCTAATTCCAATCCAAATTGCCTTCGGCTTTTAGAGAAATTATGTTTTAGTTCTGGTTTCGCCAACAGATGGCGCCACTTGCTTATTCTTGTCCAGGCTTTCTTATCTTATCTAAACATTATTTCCTATCTTGTTCATTTGCGGTTTTGCAGCTGAAGATGATGGTTCGGTAAAACCATCGAAACTAGTCCTGTGAAAATTTTGTGAATTAACGCTGATTTTTGTTGTTTGACTTCTGAATCAACGCATATAGATGTCAGCAAGGATAGAACGTCCCATGACTAATCCATTAGTCTGCTTGCAATACTTTATTTTGAAAAACAAAATGTGTTTGTTTCAGACAAAGTAATGGAAATTATTTAAGTTTGTCTAAACTTTTGTTATTAATTTCGATACATGAGAAACTTGTCCTGCAAATTTATGAATATTACGCTGATTCTTGTTGCCTTACCACCTCCCCCCCGAAAAAAAAAAAAACAGCAACACGTTATTTAGAATAATTTCGAAATGCCCAGCGGCTACTAGGTGAGATAGCTTCCCCGCAAAGCAGGCGAACTTATGGCGCGAAATCGCCCATTTGATGATATTTGGCGACAAAAATTGGCTAAATGTCATAGAGAGAACAGAACATTCTAGGAACGAGAACATTCTAGAACGCGTTTTTAGCGGTACTTTTCGAGATTATTCTCGAAGGTAAAGCTACATATACCCTGCCTATATGGAGAGTATCTGTAGTATTTTGAGCTCAGAGTTTAGCTTGATAGCAATCGACCGAGTCGGGAGCTGTACTCTAGTGCTTTGACGAGAAGCTCTCTTCACCGTTATAACCTGAAGGCTGTGTTGCTGATTGTTTCAGCGTGTTTGTCGTAGTTTTTCGACGAGTGTAAGCGTGCCTTTGGAACTGTCCTGTGTAATAGTGCTTATTGGCATTATTACACTGTATTTTAATTCTTCATCAAGTGTTATCATTGATTACTTCAAATCGACGAGCCCGTAGAACACATAATCAGGTAGTTTTATCATTAGCGTGTGGATTATCTTATGGCAATTAACTAGTTATTTTCATTTTGGTGTTTATAATTTCTATATTTCTCACAAGAATGAAAATTAATTGCTTGTGTATTTAAGCTCGGGTTTCTGGATTTTGAGGAGTTAGCTCTAGTTAAGTGTAATTATTCGACTTTGTTGTCTTTCATTGCTGATACTTTAATTGGACATACTTGTAAATTATTGATCCAACTTCTAGCTTAGTACTTAATTGTGTAGGCTTCGGCTACTGATCAACATTTAACTTGATTTGACTATTTCTATTTTAATTTGCATTTCCACTAATTGTGGCAATTTGTAGCACAAAGTCATGCCTTTATGTTCAAAATTACGTTTATCTAAAGAGGTGGTTTTATAACTCTCCTAAGATTTTGCCGTTTTATCTTAGACATAGCGATAACTCACTCCACGTCTGTTAGGGTTATAGGACTAAAGTAATAGTGCGCTAGTTCAAGTTGAATCTTACAAACGAATGCTATAATATTCAGTATCCATAAATAATTCTTTATTCACAGCACGTACAAATAACCTCTTAGATTTATTTATAGAGCACTGGTAAAGAGTAACATAATGGTGACTTTTGTAACAACAGCTAGCATACTACTCGTAGTAAAATCAACAGGCAATTCTTTTAGCAAAAATAATTCCTAATAGGCTGTAAGTGTGTACCCAGCAATTATACGGAAAGCAGTGATTTCACCGTAGTAAGCAAAATGTAGTATGTAATATCAGAAACATGCAATTAAAAATAAACTTTCACTTTAAAATTTGTTTTAAAGATTTATTTTTCCTCTTAACTATATAAAACATTTTCTTCTTCCTTATGCGGGTTTTTTAAATTTAATGTTTGGTTTTCTCTTTAGGCATTTTTCCGGTACATTTAAAAGCCAGACGAACGCTGGCTGCGTAGCGGCTAGTAACATAATAAAAGAATAAATGTCTAGAACAGGTTTCTTTCAGTATTGCTAAAAATTGATCTTATTGTGTATTGTATTAATATTGTTTCAAAAACATTAATTTCATATGGGGTTATAAGCTTTTAAAATCACATTTGGAGATTTAAATATTGATAATGGGAACAATTACGCATTAACCCTCACATTCCGAAATGGGCATTAAAATTGAAATCTAAATTTAGGAGAGTTGGTTCATTATAGGAAATCGCCTGAAGATTCAGAGTTCATAGACATAATTGTTTTATATCAAAATATTAAGTACTTGCATCGTTCACAATTTACTAGAACGGTTTAAAAGAAAATATCCGAATTTTTAGTTCTTTAGACATTCTTCTAGAGATATTCAAGGCAATTTTTGATACAAGTGTATTTCCATTTAAAATGTTTCAAGCTTTTGGATCTTATGAGCTACGGGATATTTTTGACAGGACACTGAACACGATATATCACCATATGAGGTATAATAAATGGTCTTACCTTTCCTAGATATACGTATGTCGTATCATTGAGGCCAAAAAGTTTGCCTATTCTCCACTCTCTCAAGGGAAGATTAAAATTAATCAGATTCTGTACATCAAATTCGTACTGATCTAATGGAATAACTTTGCAGCTGATTAAGCCTTTGACGTAACCTACTCTAAATACAACTCCTGGAAAACAAATATTTCAGAAATGAAAATTAATAAACAGGCAATTTAAAAAGTTATTCACAATTTCACATCTAAATTTTGTCGTTTTTTTATTACACTGGTATTTAAAATTGAAAAGTAATTGTAAAAATGATGTTAATTATGCAAAAATTGATTAAAATTCACCGGAATGTAACTATTTACGGCGCTATACAAACAACACCCTGTTAACTATTGATATGCAGGTATTCTTACCAGGAACAAATTAAATAAATGACGCAAGTAAGTGAAACAATTAATTCATAAATTGCAGCAGGTTCGACATCTCGCACATAGAGGAAGTCGATAATGAATCTGAAACATTTGTATCTAGAGCATAATACTTTATTAATACGCTCTAAACTCTCTTTTAGGGCCAGGTGGCGCAGTAGCTAGCGCGTGGCGCAGCAGCACCACAGGTCCGGGGTTCTATCTTCGGGATGGGCAAGGTTGACTCAGCCTTTCAGTGCGATACGAGCGAACATTGAGGCTTACAAGTTCCTTATGGTGTCCTAAGACATCTCGTTCCACAGTTGCTTTAAATGCGCCTCTAGTTTGGCCAATTTCGTAGACTGTCCGACTTGCCGTCCCAAACGATCTCAGATAAGCTCGATTGGTGACAAATCTGGGGATCCAGCAGGCCATGTAAAGGTGTTAATGTGTCGGAGTCAGTCTTGTGACATCCGTGTGCTGTGTGTTGCCGAGAATTGCCTTGTTGAAAACAGGGTGGCTACACATGTGGCTGAAGGATGTCATGGACGTACCGCTGGCCTGTCATTGTACCATGGATCAATATTAGAGGTGCCCGTGTATCGTAATTCAGGATTGAGACGTTCGCCATGGGGTCTCCACCCACGAATACGATTGTCATCACTGGTCAAATTGAATCTAGATTTGTCGCTGAAGAAGACCTGGTTCCATTCCGTTAAAGTGCAATCCTGTCGTGTGCGACACCACTCCAAACGGAGGCGTCGATGGGTGGGTGTCATTGGCAGGACACGTAATGAGTACCGCACTACCAGAATGTCCTTCAACCAGGCGTCTTGCGATGGTTTGGGAAGACACAGGGATCCGTAATGAAGCTGCTGCCTGTGCCTGGATAGCGGCCAATGAGGCAGCTGGCTACACGCGTGCGTGTAGTATGATGTGACGGTCTTCTCCACGACTGGTCTATCGAGGGCTTCCTGAGCCTGGTAGCCGTGTACATGACGTCTCTTCGGTCCACTGGTTCCAACACCTCCTCACAGTAAAATCAGAACGGCTTACCTGACGAGCCACTCGCCAAGCTGACCATCTAGCTTCCACCATCCCGATGATTCTTCCCCTCTCGGACACTGACAGCTGCTAATATTGGCTTAGATGGCGGCGTAACAGCATGTCTACCTCAGCGTTTCCTTAGCAAAAGATTAAGTACACTAAAACAAACTCTTCTTACCTGTTTTATACTCAAAGAAGAACGAAGTTCAACTCCCTCTAGTGGTATTACGAAATGCACAATCGAGCTGCATTTCTAATCATTTGCATGTCTACTCAACATGTAACTTCATGCCAAGTTTCGTTACGATCCCACAATTATTTTTTGGTGCGCAAATTTTTATGGCAATGAGTGTATTAGGGCTCTGCCGGCCATGGCTCTCTATGGGCTATTTGTGACATCGAGTTCAGTTTAAACTTTCTTTTGAAGACCAATACTATAGAGATTCTTACGGTAAGTAAGGTTTCCTCCTATTTTTAAAAGTATTTTTAACCATTCTTCTTGCAAAACAACGGCTATTTCTTTTCATAATGGCGGCTAAGAAAACGTTTTCAAACTTCGTACGCTCTCAGATACTATTTAGACGCAATACCGTCAAGATCAGAGGATTGTGCAGCAATTAGGAAGAGCTTCAAGGTCACTTATGTTCTCCAACTCTATCACCAGTTTTACAATATAAAACAATGTACTGTCATCCTGATATACGGCACGTCCTCCGAGATGCAATTTGTGTGGATTTGGTGCATCGATAATATTTGCAGGTGATGTAATCATTAAAAAAAATCAGTGTTCCCAGAGAACTCCAAAATACTGTATACCGAGCCTTAACCATTCCACTTCAATGTGCCCGAAACAATCTGAATCACACACGCGTCTGAAGGACTTATCTACTTATGTACACAGAAATTCCCGCCACTTCCAATCCTACACAGAAGAAGGACTTATCTACACAGAAAGAAGCGGAGAAGTAGTACGTGAAGGTGAGCTCCTTTTTTGACAGCACGTGATCTGTGTTAACTCCTACGTCATTTGTGTTCTTGACGCTGCTAAAATCAGTGTTTAGCATAGGATCAAGCCGATTACCGATGTTTTTGCTAGAGCTGCCCGATACTGAATATTAACCTCATTAAGGCACGTTTGAGTAAAAGAATGTTAAGTTCGCCATAATTTGAGAACACACCGTTTCATATTTTTTAACTGTAAATCTCATTAACACTTTAGCATCCTTTCCAGAAAACTTCTCTTTACTCGGCAATAACTCCGCTTGGGCAACGTTCTTGACTCTTCTCATTATACAGACATGAGCATACATATTGTGGACCTCTGCACATCAAAAGGATCTACCTTCGTAACTGAAAAGAAATACCAACCAGAGAAGCTATACAACTTCTGTTCGCTTTTAAACTAATTTATCTTTCACATTTATGTCGCATAAGTCTCAACGTTTCAAGCCAGATTCAATACTTCATATTTTGTTACTTCTTCGGTTCTAATCATAATTTTACCTCAAGAACACCATTTAAATGAAGGCCAGGCGATATAATTTAATTTATGGAATTAATAAAATGAGAATATATATACATATACATATTTTGCTTTTTAGCCCCTCTATTGTGTTTCGTTTTGTATATATATATATGTATATACTACTCAGTACTATACTAGTATAAAATGATACTCTCTCTGTATATGTATATATTGAGAAGTATTTTATGCAACCATGATGCTAAAACTAAATTACATGAAATTCATAGTTTATTGATTCATGTTTATTTATGTATTATTAATTTAATCACTAACTTGTTCATTTATACGAATTGCTTTTCCCCGCAAGACAATTAGCAGGAGACCAAAAAATACAAATTCAACAGGTACACAAAAAATTCAAGAAGAATGTTTTCATTATTTGTATGGATATCTTAATTAACGGGTAGTTAAGTGAGATTTGTTAATCAGTAATCAGGTATATTTCCTTAAATTCCTTTAGACAATATCTTTTAAAAAATTTGTATTGTTGTGCTAAGTATATACTACATGTTACCTCATTCTGTAGGAGATAATGTGTGATACAACTGCGTCGAAGCTTCACTTAAATAACTCTTGGAGTAATGATATTTAACTCAGATTGACCTGAAATATAACGTACCCATTTCGCCACTAACCATCTCTGATTGGTAACGCCGTTCCTTTTCTTGGAAAGGAGGAACTTCTTCTTTAAGTCTTTCTATGTCTACCCTGACCAACTTGCTGCTTGGATTGTACCACGTCTATAAATATCAAACATCATAAGTAAAAAGAATCATATCGTAAATAAAAGGCACATAAACATGAAAATGCGGAGGAATGCAGTTCAAAAGTAATAAAGTAAAATATTAAACTGATCTCTTTCCTCTAAGAAAAGGGCAGAGGGGAAAAGCAAGCAAGGCCTTTCCCTCCTTCCAATAACAAATTTTGTTCTTAAAATATTGCTGAAAATATCACTCATACATACGTTTAACATCAAGTTTAGACATGAAAATATGTATAAAATTAACTATGTTTAGAAAAATGTTTGCGGTTATCGTGTTTGAACTAATCAATCAAGTTTTCAATCGTACAGTGGCGGCCACCTATTAGACCTTTCCATAATGAAATGGCCACTACTTACGGCCCTTGTTGTGGATCAATGTTGATGGCTAAGCGTCCGGACATTGAAAAAAAGTTCCTATTCGTTAGTGATATGATCACCTTTTCTTCTTTCAATAAAACCCCATGACATTTCAAGCATGTGTGTCAGTTTTTATCTCTCTACCTACATTATTCACTGAATTATTGAATTTTAAAATGCTAACAGACTTTTGGGTTATCCTGTATATATATATATATGTGATGTACCAGCTTTAGTCGTAACTTAAATTATCAGACGATAATTTTAAAAAAACAGGATCCATTTATTATTATTCAAGAGAAATAGCAGTTACAAAATCAGATATCCGGAGTAAATAAAAAGAATTGCTAATAACTTTTTGTATGAAGTTTACTGCATCATGACATTTAAGAAAAAGGCCCCCGATATTCTTTTGAGAGTACTTTTATAGCCTCTGGAAAGACGGAGCTTCCAAGAAATGACGTCAGCCAATCCAGTTCGCTTTAAATATTTCCAGAACATTCTATAACTGTACGTGTAGAAAAGGCGGCGGGAAAAACAACTTGACTACGGGGCTGTGGATTTAATTTCACGTACTTTCAAATAAGAGATCGTCGCCATTAAAAATGAAAAGAACATACAGTTAGAATTTTAAGTGTATTCTTGACTATGGAATTTTATTATTAAACATATATATATATACATAAACTGATAAATAAATATTGCAAAATTAGTAAACTAACGTAAGTGGAAAGAGCTATTTTAAAGTAAGCAAATGGCTTTAATTTAAATATATATGTATATATTGTGTACTAATTTAAAACTTCTTCACACAAACGGTCAGAAATAACGAAGTGTGTATATTCAGAACTCCTTTAATTGTTCTTGTTTAATGTTTTAGTTAATTACTCTGTGACGAGTTTTAGGTGACGCATTAGACTATGAATAATAAATTATATGCTTTTTATAGTGTTTTAAAATTGTCTTAAAGATAAGATTGATAAATATTTTTTTTGCTAATTTTCCCTAGATTTTTTTTCATTTCACCAGATTTTTTTTTTAAAAATATTTTGAATAATATTTTTCATTACAATATTTTTTTTTCGTGTTTTCTGTCTTGTTTCAGTGAAATTTTTTTTATCAAATCATTAAAATACCTATCTCTATCTGTCTGTTTATATACACACACATATGAATTTGCTCATCTACAACCTCTGTAACCTTGAGCTCCCAATATTTCGAATATACAGGGTGGTTCAAAACTATATGATAAAATTATAAAGGCAGGTAGAGGGGACTTGAATAAGCAAATTTCGTATAGAAATGCGTGTGCGGTAATGCCGCACACTGAAAACACAAATAAAAACAAAAGAAAACCGAAATTAACAGTTTACAATAGGTGCCCGAAAGAGCGGCCACCAACAGCGATACAAGATTCACAGCTGTGAAGCACGAATCGGCGTACATTAGAAAAGACGTCGGGCATGTCGACCACATGTCCAGCACCGATAGACAAGCAGGCAACAAGAACTGCAGATGTGACGGGACTCTCGTACACAAAGCTTTTAATATGACACGAAAAGAAGAAATCCGAGCGAGTTAAATAAGAATAACGCGGAGGCCAGGAATGTAGTCTATCTCGTCCTATCCAGCGCTAGCCGTAGACAGCGTCCAAGTGATTTCTGAAGTTCCTGGATGTATAAAACGATCCACTCGTGCTTAACTCACGATGAAGATGCTCGAAATTTCCACGATCCGGGTGATTCCTATCCGGGAATCGCTTCCTGTATATCCTTTGAGCAGCTAATCCATTTTCTTGTACAGCCCCATACATGAAATACATGTCTTCAAGCTCCGAAATGGTGTAACGATGCATTTTACTCGAGATCCGTGCGGGGAATGAAGAATCCAGCTAGCGCAGGACTTTTATACGCCGCACTCCATTAGCGCTTTCTGCCGGCTCAACGCGCCATTACCGCACACACATTCCTATACAGAATATGATTATTTAGGTCCCCTCTACCTGCCTTTACAATTTTCATATATAGTTGTGAACCACCCTGCATATACATAATATATATCAGACGCATTGATATTTCAGGACTGGAAGATCTTTTGTTTTAATTTAAAAAAACAACAATACAACTTACATCTACATATCTAATTTCTTGATAATCAGGTAAAATCAATTCAGAGTGCATCGCCATAGCCTGCCAATCAAATACATAAGGAAACTGTAAGGTCTGCTTCCGATCTGGGCACACTACTCCTTGAACAGGCTGAAAATAAAAAAAAGAACCTTTTAAAAACTTTATTTTTAAAGCAGCCTTTTGGTGATATTTAAAGTTGCACGTTCGAAATTTGGCGTCTAAGTTTGCCAATTTTCGCGATTAAGTGAAGCAACGGCATTAATAAAGAAATACCAACATTTGTTAGGAATATGAAAATCAAACATTTAAATTTCTTTTGGTACTGTTATGTGTAATACATTATTACGATATGCAATATAGAGCCAATGAGATTTTGGAAATTTCTAGTCTAGCAGTTTTGTTTTCCAGCATCTTTAATCACAATTTGGGAAATCATCGGAAATGAATAAAATCACAATTTTCGGTAGGGAAACGATTTCAACTAAATAGAGATACGAACTTAAGCAACATGGAGATATCAGTAATGGAATGATAGCCTACTCAAAGAAACACAGAAATTAAAACATCTTGTCGTATTATTTTACACATTTTTTTTTACATCTTTTGCAGAATCATTGCTACTGTTATGAATTTTGTATCTATGTAAATAATTTTAGTGAAATAACATGTGAAACTGTAGTAAATTTTATATAATTCAGAATGAAATGCTTGAGTGAGTGAAGCTCTACCGGAAAAGTAAGATTGCAAGGTCAAGTTTATTTAGCATTGAGGTAAATTGCTATCTAGCTTAATTAGCGATGATTTCGGCGACTAATTTTTGTCGCCAAATTTGACAAGAAATTGCCAAAAGGTGATCCTTTGGCGATATTTCGGTATGGTTCCCTTATAACTTCGTTTGATACCGTTACTGAATAATTGTAATTGATCCCTCTATGTAACTATGACAGTATTCGGCCCTTATATGTAACTGTAACCACATCCGGCCTCTATATGTAACTTTATCCGAATATGCCTTCCAGTAATTTCGAGAAATGGAAAGCTCTAGAGATTTCTTCGCAGCCGATGGGAAAACTATATAAGTCCGCAGAGAGCATCAGTTCTCAGTTTTTAGTTCAGTCAGATCTTCTTGGGAGCTTCACATGCGCTTTGCGTTGTGTTCTGTTAAACGCTGTTAGTAGTTTAAAGTGGTAACTACTTTTTGTGCCTTTTCATACTGAGAAGAGCTGTATAAGTACTTTTGTGGAAGGTTCTAGAGCTATAAAGTGTTTCTTTTGTGAAAATAAATTTTATCAAGCTATCATCGGTCCTGTGTGCTCTTAATCCATCACGAACCCGTACACACGTTTCACTGTTTTAGGAAGTTCCAGCGAACCAGTTTCATTTCACATTGTCCTTAGTTACAAGTTGTGGTATCACAGTTCTCGGTGGAAGACAAATAAATTTCCGTGGAACAGAAATAAGATCAGAGAATTGTGATTATCCATTCCAAAAAGAGAAAATGGAAAAGAAAGAGAGCACCAAAATCTTTGATGAATTAGAATGTCCTTTGCAGATGAAATTTTCAGGTTCTGTTTTAACTCTAATAAAAGTAGCGAAAATTTATAACAATCGAAATTTGTATCAAGTTTCTTTCATTAATGATTCAGTATTCTTTGAATGAGAGATCTTGACATTCATCAACCTTTAACTTCGCTGTGTACGCAGTGCGAATATATAGCATATCTTTCGGTAGAATATAATGTCATTTCTTATTTCAACACGTTTGACTAATTAAAAAAAATATTTTCTTTCTACATTACATTATACGTAACAGCGTTTTGTTGCGAAGTCGGAAGCCATGCCATTGAATTTCAGTGAAAATCCTTTACATTCAGTGTGAAATTAAGACACAGGAAACTTGCTCGAGTAATTTTTTGAAGTATTTATATCTTGATATTTTCGATAATAAACACAGATTAAAAAAGGATTACTAATCTTTTTCCTATACGAGGAATTTATATGACTAATAATGAATTCTTCACATGTACTAAAAGGTGTACGTCCACCAACATACACACTTTTTTTCCAGACTAGTGTTTTGTCTGCTGATCATGTTGCGCATATTGATCAACAGTGGAAATACTGGCTGATCGTCATGTCGCTATGTGTAGCGTGTGCATGAGGCAGTTTTTCCTTAGAAAGTCTTCGAAGAAGCCATCCTTTCCCTTAGGAGCCCTCGAATGCTTTGCGATAATCAAATAAACCAACGTTTGGCAGATGCTTTGTACTAAACCAAATAATACAATAGATTTAAAATATCGCAAATGCAAACGATAGAGGGGATGACCTAATATAATTCGATCAATTCCACATAGCGACTTGTGAATACATTTAATAAAGAAAACAATTATTCTTGTAAACATAGCTATGCGTATTTTTACCTTATCATTGGCACAAGAGGCTTACAGCAAATATTTTTTAAATTCGAGTGGTAAAAATTTCTGTTGTGTCAGAATACGAAATTTCGCGTAACGAAAACAGTAATACTTTTCTTCGAGCTGTTAAAAAGTTTTCAATCTGAAAATTTCGGTTATTAATTAACTGTTAGAAATTTTTAAAACATACATAAGAAATGTGAAAAATAAACAAATGTTTCACTTTTCTTCATTAAAATTTGTTGTCAATTCATAAAAATCAGGTTTTAGCTTTAAACAAAAATAAAATATAATTTAGAAAGAATATTAATGTTCAAATGCTTCTGCATTTATTTTTTAATGTAAATAGCAGATATAGAAATATTTAAAAATACCGTGTAAAGTACCTCACTTTGGAATTCTAAGTTAATGTTGGAAGTGAGGAACCTAAGAACTGATAAGCGAATAATCGCTAGAGTTCGATGACAAGAAACAACAAGAGAGAAGGGTAACTAACCCTTTATTATTTCGATAAGATTTAACAAAACTCCGCCTGGGAGTGTACAAGTAAAGCCCGCACTTTGGACTTGAACTTAAAGGACTAAGAATTAAATTAAAACTAAGATTAACTAAATAAGTATAGCCAAAGCTGTCAAGGTTCAATTAGAGTTGGCCCCTTAACTTATTTTACTACGAAGCTTAGCAAGGGCCTGAGTACGGCCAAGCGTAAAAATAGCTTTGAGAGAGAGAGCGGCCAAAAAGGCAGACGTGCGTAGTTCAGAAACTCTGATTCTCTCTCTGTCTCAGTAAGTAACTTCGTGATTTAAATACCGCTCCTTCTCATTAAATATTCAGCAAATTCCAAAACTACGTTCTGGCCGGAAGTAGTAAGTTGAAGTTAAGAATTTCACAGGAAAGGAATTTTAACTTAAAATTTAACTGTTAATAAAATTAACATAAACCTTACAACCGAAAAGCGTATATTACCACTTAAAGAAAATTAAGAAAAAGTAGAGAGACGCTTACAACTCTATGTTATTATGAAAGATTATACAGTTATTATAACTGTATGTTAAGTTAAATTACACTGCTCAAAACAGTTAGGAGATATTGTGAGTTCGGTATAAAATAGCTATATAATTTGCAACTTTTTTAATAAAAATGAAATAGAAGAGGTTAGAAAGGAAAATTACAATGTTTAAAAAGTTGGGAATATGCAAATTTTCTCTGTGACGTCGAAAACTCTCGTTTTAGATATGGCTTGAAAAGCGGCCTGCAGCATTTCTTCTGTAGGAGATGAAAAACAATTGACACTCTTTGAATGTTTTGTAACCGTGAATACGATGTTTCAACATGATGACTTAGCTCAGTCAGTAACCTGGAGGGTCACTGGTCGTTTATAGGTGGGTCAAACGCAATTAGTTGTAGAGAAAGAATTACAAGTTTCTGAAAGTGTCATTTCCAGGCTATGGAATCAAATTTTTGGAAACTGGAAATGTTCACCGAGTAGGAGAACAATGTCGTATGCCTGCAACAATACAAAATAAGGATAGGTATTTAACAGCAATACAAAATAAGGATAGGTAATGGACAGAAGAAAGCACTATGAACGCCATTTTCTTGCAATAGCTCCTTCAGAGGGCTGCAGGTACCACAGTTTCGGCTTAAACTGTTCGAAACCGACTCCACCATGTCAGTTTGTATGCTTGCAGACCTAAGGTTGGTGTTTCGTTGACACAGCGCTACCCTCAGAAGGCCACAGTTTTAGCCACTTCGCTGCCCTCAGAAGGTCGGCACAGGAGGATCTCAGATGGGGAATAGTTGAGTGGAGCAATATGCTCTTCTGGGAGGTATCCAGCTTTTAGTGTACAACCAGACAATAGGAGGTACCTCACCTGGAGAGTACTAGTAAACGGAATATTCCTGCATTAGGCAATGAAAGTGTCCGATTTGGCGGAGATGGAGTGACGGTATGGGCTGATAATTTTATCAATGGCCGCACTGATCTGTACATTTTCAGGAATGAAACAACGGCTCAAGTATATAGGTATGAGATCCTCAGACATATTGTACTCATTTATGCTGCAGGAAAAGTGGATGAATTCCTTCTCATGGATGATAACGCCAAGTCACATCGTGCTCAGTTAGTGGACAGTTTCCTTTTCGACTAAGGAATCCTTTGAATGGATTGGGCAACATGTTCTTCAGATATGAACCCAATAGTATATATTTGGGACATTCTAGAGAGAAGAGTTGTTAGTCGCTTATCCCCCACAAAACAACTCAACACTTTGAAAGATCCTTTCTATAGGAACGGGGAAGAATACCCCAGTCCCTCATTGGTAACCTCATTGATTCCATGCCTCGTAGGTTTGCAATATTGCCTTCGACTTGGGGAAAACCATACCTCTTATTGAAACTCATTTGTATCCAAGAAATCCCACTTTTCTGTTTGTATAATATGCACAAATTGTTCATTTTTCTGTTTACCGACAAATATAATCAATAAAATTCTTGCTTCTTTTTCTTTTCTGATATCTGACAACACCTACAGATTATTTATCAGTCACCAAAACGTTTCCTCCTCCTCAGTTTATATCCAAAATCATAATATTCCGTAATTGTTTTGAGTAGCATATAATCATTAGATTTTATTTTGGTACAAGTCATAGTATATACAAAGAGTAGAGGTAGAAATTTTGCAATCGATCTATTAATAATGTGTTGTAAATGTGT